GAGGCCAGTGCTGAAGTTATAAATTTAGGAGTCAAAGTAAAGATAGTATTTACACCAATGAAGTTAAATGAGATCACTAAAGGAGTGATGGAAAAGAGATCAGAGGAGAGGTTAAGGCAACACTAAGAAGTTAGGGAGTAACCTAGAAATATATCCCAAGAAGCTAGAAACACCAATCAGAAAGGATATATACACCCCTATGTTCATAGCAGCACAATTTACAATAGCTAGGATTTGGAAACAGCCTAGGTGCCTATCAGCAGATGATTGGATCCAAAAACTATGGTGCGTCTACACAATGGAATATTATGCTGCCATAAAAAAGAAGGAATTCTCATAATTTGCAGCAACCTGGATGGAATTGGAGAACATCATGCTGAGTGAAACAAGCCAGTCAATGAAAGAGAAACACTACATGACCTCACTTATTTATGGATGATAAAGAACATTATAAACTGAAGAACTAAAAGATATAGAGACAGTAAAGCAACAAGCACACTGTCATATTGCATCGGGGAGGGTAGGGAGATCTGGGGGAGATAGAGATCAACCAAAAGGACTTATATACATGCATATAAGTACAACCAATGGACACAAAACTCAGGGGAGGGAGGGCCTGCATGGGAAGGGGTGGGCAATGGTATATGTACAAAGATAATAATTTAATTTAAAAAATTTAAAAAATAAAGCTTTCAAAAAAAGAAGAAGAAGAAGAAGTTAGGGAGTAAGAACCAGCAGAGGAGACTGAAAAGGACAGCCAGTGAAGTAGGAGGAAAACAAATAGGTGTTCTTTAGAGGACTATTTTCAGGTTATTCCTACATGAAACTTTTTCCACTCTAACAATTTCAATGAGCACTTTCTCCATACTGTGCTCTTTCTACATCCTGCAATCATCACTTCTCTTTTTATCCATATACTAGAGGCCCGGTGCATGAAATTCATGCACAAGTAGGATCCCTAGACCTGACTGGCAATCAGGGCTGATCTGTCAGGAGACCAGAATGTCAATTGGGGGCCCCTGCAGGCACTTGCCTTTGATTGGCCTGGGGCCTGAGGGTGGGAGATAGCTCCTGCATTAAGCATCTTCTCCCTGACTATCAGTCTGTGTCATAGCAATTGGTTGTTCCACTGGTCATTCCACTCTTCAGTAGATTTGCATATTAGGTTTTTATTATATAGGATTCTATTATTTTGAAGAAGAATGGAAAATAATGTGGTATGCCTGCAACTCTAGCAATTTCTCATTTTGTCTCAACCTATATTTTTATGCCTGACCTGATTATTAATATCTGTTCACAATTGTTTTGGCAAAAATAATTACTTCTAGAAAAACCTAAAAGGATATTTAATTAATATATGTTTCCAGGATGATAAAAATGAACTCTTTATTCATTGATTTATAATTAGTTTATTTTTGAGTTACAAAAGAAAGTAACAACTACCAAACATAGCATCTTCAATTTTAACAAGAAAAAACTTGAATGAAATCAATATACGTGTTAGATCCATGATGTTGAATAAATCCCAGTCCTGGTGTAACCCATACTGTCTTTATGATCTCTCCATTAAGGGAAAGTTTTCCCTGGTATTATATGACAATTAGACAGGCCCAGAGCTGTTCAGCTCACTCATAGGCCCTCTAAACATAGTGTCAATTCAGTAATTAAACTAGCCAGTACAAACTTGACCTAGTATTAAATCTTCCTGCTTTAACTGGCAATGTGCAGTGGTAAAGAGAAGATGAGTAATGTCTCTCTTGAAGCCCTAGGTACCTCCTCTTCCTGCTGAGTCTCTCCAGCCCACCCTATTGCTGTGGTCGGCAAACTGTGGCTCACAAGACACATGGGGCTCTTTGGCCCCTTAAGTGTGGCTCTCCCACTAAATACCACGGCCTGGGCGAGTCTATTTTGAAGGAGTGGCATTAGAAGAAGTTGAAGTTTTAAAATGTGGCTCTCAAAAGAAATTTCAATCATTGTACTGATTATATTTGGCTCTGTTGACTAATGAGTTTGCAGACCACTGCCCTATTGGATAAACCCCAGAAGGTAGAAGATAGTCCAACTCTCTGGCACACGCCCACATCTAGACCACAGGAAACACTTGCTAGTCCCCTGCCTCAGGCACTCTGAAAGTGCAGGCTAATCCCAGCCATGCAGCAAGGCCTCTTCCCCTCCCCCAAAGCACTGATAAGCTCTCTCAAGCCGTTTCCTGGTAAGGAACATCTCCATGAGCTTGCTGGGGCAGGAGTAAGGCCACCATCCTCAGTGTTTTCCAGCTACGGGAACAATTTAAAATTTCTCTAGAGGTCACTTTAAGTTTCTTCACTAGGCTTAGGGTTGGAGAGTAAGTTGAAAACCTCCTCTTCCCCCTAGTGGACAATAGAGCCAGGCAACAGATCTCACCACCGTCCCCTCCATTCTCCTCATTTTTTATAGCTTTGATCTGACTGTGGTGTGGGGATCCACGACTGTGGCACAGGGAGGGTCTCAGGACCATTTTCTTAAAAATCTGCACATGGGATCTATCTCCCATTTACTGGGATATCTGTGGCACTGACACATTAGTAGAACCTGAGACAGAAGGAGCCCACACCACCATCCTCTTACACTTCTTAGCTTCAGTCATAGCATTTGTTTTCTCACTACAGAGACATGCGTACATACAGTATATTTACATGGACATTTCATTACGTACATGCATTATCTAGTATACCTCTAGATATAGACTTAATCACCTCCAATTTAGATTTATGTGCTTGGAGGTGATGATTCTGAATGTTTGGTACCCTTGGGGACAGATATCACTAATATATATATATATATATATATATATATATATATATATATATATTTCCACATCTGCATTTAGCCCAGTCCACCACAACCACATATTGAGACACTTCTTATTACCTATTCCTTATACCTGCCCTGTCCAGTTCAACAACTTCTAACCACATATAGCCATTTAAATTTAAATTTAAATGAATTAAAATAAAATTAAATAAAAAGTTTAGTTTCCCAGTCTCACTAGCCACATTTGAAGTGTAGCTAATGACTCCCACATTTAAACACTGTAGATAATGGACATTTTTTATCACCAGAGCATTCTATTGGACAGTACTACCTCACATGAGATTTGGCAAATAGGAGGCACTGTAATAATGACAGATGAAAGTTTGGTGCAAAGATTCCATATGATTGCACCAATTTATTTTTCTGAGAATATGAAGCTTTTCAGTACAGGATTATGTATTGACAACCACACTATACACAAAAACCAAATCTTTACATAGGGTACCTAGATAGCTACAGATCCTTTCTTTCTTCCTTCCTTCCTTTTCTTTCTTCCTTTCTTTTCTTTCTTTCTTTTTCTTTTTTTTCTTTTCTTTTTCTTTTTTTTTGTTAATCCTCACTGAGGATATTTTTTCATTGATTTTTAGAGAGAGTGGGAGGAAGAGGAAGAGACAGAGAGACACATGGATTGATTCGATTGGTTGCCTCCTGCACACACCTTGACCAGGGCAGGGAACCTGCAACCAAGGTGCCCATGACAGGAGTAGAACCCGGGTCATTTCAGTCCTCAGGCTGACACTCTATCCACTGAGCCAAACAGGCTAGCGTGCTACAGATGAAAACCTTGAAAACCTATCTGCATTCTCCCACTGCGCCAGAACATGCTTTACCAAAATAAATACTGAAAATATTTGGGAAAAAGTCCCTATTTCCCTCAACAAACAAGTTGAGTACTATTCAGCGCATGAAAAGGAATTGTTTCAAAAGCAGTATTGAAGGGGGATTCCATATAAAAACATTTCTTTGCTGAAATAAGCATTTCACTTGAACTATTTTTTGAGAGTAGAAATGACCTATGGAAATGACCAAGGACTGGGTGTGTTTGAATTGTAAATTTACCCTGGCATCTCTCCAGGAGGACATTATAGCACTGGCACAGCTGCTCTGCAGTGAGTGATGAGGGAAGCAATGAAGAGGACTCCGTGGGCTGCCTGAATGTTGACCAGGAGTCTGGAGACAAAGTCCCAGCTTGCTTACTGTCTAACCATGAAATGGGATCTGCTTGTCCTGAGGCCTTTATTTCCTTTTTGATGAATGGGAAAGATTGGCCTTCCCACTTGCAAAATTCTAGCATTTGTGATTTTAAAAACTTTCCATTAAAAGCAATCTTTATTTTCACAATCCTCACAGTTTTTCTGGTATGTCTTCAGTGACAATGGCAACTCCCTGAATCTCTCAATGTTCTGAATTGGGACCCCAAGAAACACAGAATAGACAGCACTCTCCAGACGACAACGACCCACCTAATTTATTTATTTACTTTTTTCCCCTCTAGCACAGGGTGTATTCAGTCATGCATGCATCCAGTGAACATTTGCTGAGCACAGAGGAATAACATGTCGCTTAAGAATTTCTTTGATTTCAGTGGTTCTACAGGCAGCAATATTAGTAAAACTGTCAACAAAGTAGGTAGGAGGACTTAGAATATAACTCTCACCACAAAAATGCATGTATTATAAACTCTTACACTTGAAAATTTTTTAAAAAATATATATATATTTTATTGATTTTTTTACAGAGAGGAAGAGAGAGGGATAGAGAGTTAGAAACATCGATGAGAGAGAATCATTGATCAGCTGCTTCTTGCACACACTTCCATGGGGATGTGCCCGCAACCAAAGTACATGCCCATGACCTGAATCAAACCTGGGACCTTTCAGTCTGCAGGCCAACACTCTATCCACTGAGCCAAGCTGGATTCTGCTACATTTGAAAATTTCTGTAAATTTTTTTTATGAAAGGAGAGAGATCGATAAGTTCTCCTCCCACTTCCAACTACATTCATTCCAAACATAATTGCTGAATTACCTGCAAAAGGTGGCAAGTTCCAAGGGCTGAATTCTGACAGAGTGACTCTTTTTGAGTCACTTCCCTTCTAAGTTCTGGGAGCCCAGGTATTTTGGTCTAGTAATTCATATATAGGTACCTTAAGGACCCTGGAGAAAAAATTTTTTTTCTTCTAAATCAATTTCATTAAGGCATAATTTACACACTATAAAATTCACCAATTTTAAATGTTGTAACATTGTGATTTATAATAAGCAGTGTATATTTGGTCTTTGCCCAATTCTTGGCACAAAGCTCTTAAATTCTTGAGATTTCCTAATAGATGAGAACATAAAATTGTCTCTTGTTATGTTAATGCGGTGTCTTTTGGACAGCATCCGAGGAGAATGGGGGCTGGCTGCCAGGAAAACCCATATCATGTTTAAAGGGTTGGAAGTTTCGGTCTCACCCCCTGGACCTGCAGGAAGGAAAGAGGGGCTGGAGGCCAATGATTTAATCAACTGTCCCTGAGTAATGACACCTCCATAAAAACCAGAAAGGACAGAGAGCTTCTGGGCTGGGGAGCAAGTGAAGATTCAGGGAGACTGGCACCCTTAGAGAGGGCCTGGGCGCTCCTTGCCCTTTCCCCATACCTGGACTGTGCATCTCTTCCATCTGGCTGAACCTGAGCTAATCCTTTTTATAATAAACTAATAATCTAGTAAGTAAGCTATTTCTTGGAGTTCTGTGAGCTGCTTCAGAAATTAATTAAGCCTGAGGAGAGGACTGTGGGAAACCCTAATTCACAGCCTGGCAGTCAAAAGTCTACATGACAACCTGGCCTACTTCACTTGAGATTTTTTATTTTTTATTTTTTAGATTTCTGAAGTTCTTAGAATATAACATTCACCAACACACACGCTGTGAAGTAACCAAAAAATAAACTTCTATTGTGTTAAACTACTGGAGAACATTACTTCATTGACTAATACCTATCCCAAACCACATATAATCAAGTACCAATACGAAGCATGTTATTCTGAAAGCTGTAAGACAACCCTGTTGTCAAAAAAATGTGAATCATGTATACTTATTATCACTTATCAGTTTAGTCACATTTGCCACACCACTTTTTGGAGAAAAAACAGAGTAGTCATATAACAAAAGTGAAGTCATTCTTTTATCTACTCTACAAAATTGACCTTTGTTTTCTGACACAATGAAGTCAAGAACAATCTGAAAATGTACTAAACACATATGTAGGTGAAGGTATTCCTCTCCTCCCAATCAAATGGACTGAAAAGCTTTCCCATAAGGAGATTTAGGATGACAGTTTATAGTAACAATTATATTACCCACATCGTAGTACATGGGTGCTACTTGTGAGGAAAGTGGGTGACATTCTGATGATAGCTTTGTTTCTGTCTGCTAACGAAATAGGGGTGAAAAAATAAAATTGTGAGCAAAAGACTCAGCTTTGTAGACAGACTCAAAGGTATGTTAGAGATTATCAAACTCAATCTCTTTATTTTACAGATAAGAAAACCCTGTTGTAGACCCTTGACACAAGGTGCAAGATAATTGAATAAAGTCGTCATAATATTTTACTTTAATAATTTCCTAATTGGACATATCCCATGGTCTGCTCTATTTTGGAGAAATGGCCACCTTCCCAGAGGAGTTCCTCCTGCCACCCAGCATGGTTTGGGCATGGGATACTCAGTTCACCGGACACCTGGAAGGAGGGGACCAACAAAGGATGCCAACCTGAGGCCAAAGTTTATCTGGTCATTTTACTCCAATCACTGTATTTGTGAAATGAGTTACAAATTAAAATACTTTTACCCTTCATTAAATACATTCATATTTGTGGAACAATTTTTATTTTATTTATTTATTTATTTATTTATTTATTTATTTATTTATTTTTTAAAAATATATTTTATTGATTTTTTTACAGAGAGGAAGACAGAGGGATAGTTAGAAACACCGATAAGAGAGAATCATTGATCAGCTGCCTCTTGCACACCCCCTACTGGGGATGTGCCTGCAACCAAGGTACATGCCCTTGACCAGAATTGAACCCGGGACCTTTCAGTCCGCAGGCCAACACTCTATCCACTGAGCCAAACCAGTTTTGGCGAACAATTTTTATTTTTTTTAAAATCAACATTTAATCCTCTTACACTACCACCAAACACACACACACACACACACACACACACACAGACACACACACTCTTAAAAATGAGATGTGGTTTATCTATACCTTTTGTTTATATGTTAAGTATAATATTTAGAAACAAAATTAAAAGCAAGTTAATTTTGTAATTTAACCAATATTAATCTGATACTGATTTTTTTTCAGGTAAGAAAATATTTTCATGAAAGTATCAGTAATTTGTAGTGGATGGACATTCAACATTAATGTCAGAGCGTAGAACTTGTCTCTCCTTTTGCTGTGAATAGAAGTTGAATATGCCATATTTTGCTAAAGGACAGTCAGAAACTGTTCACGCTAAGAAGGAGGGCTACTTTAAAGCTCTAAAATTTGTCATTTGGTGAAAACAGCATATAGATGTCAAATACACAAAAACAAATAGTGACATATCTTCAAATTTATTTTGTTAATTTCAAAATATTTAATAGACACACACAATCTTCATATTTTTGGATATAAGACTGTTTTCTCCTTTAATTTTTTTTTTACTTCTTTGTGGTTTACTATGGAAAGTGCCCATTCCGGACATACTAGTTTATGCTGCCTATTCTGTTATAGTGCTTCTAGTAAATGATTGATTTTAATGGCTATCTGTAAAAGGACATTTTTCTTTTCTGTTCTGCTGCCTATTTTGTCCTGAAAACTCTTAATTTTTATTCTCTTTAAAGAACAGTATTTCTGTTGCAGTTGAAGGATCTCTGTAGACGTAAGGCTTAAAGGTAAAAATAGGGACAGATTTTAAACCTCTCTTCTTTCTTTCTCCACTCAGTGCTCTTCTTGGCCTTCTGTTTCGCTTCCCCCTTGTACTGTTTACATCAGCCCTTTACCCTCCTTACCTAGGTTACCTCCTTAAGAGTCATTTTCTCATTTCCTTTTCCCTTGGCTCCCTCTCAGCCTTCTTCAAGGTTCTTAGTCAGTTCCCTGTTATTCTCAGCCTATTGTCATAGTGACAGCCACACTCCCGGGAGTAGCTGGCTCATGAACAGTTGGGAGAGACCTGACACCAAGTCCCACAGAAAAAGCCTGTCAGCGTGTGAATTTCAGCAGCTCTGTGCAGACATTTAGCAAGTAGGCCAAAACTGTCTCCATACAGTGTTGTTAGAGAGAAAGAAATCAAAATGAGAAAAGCCTTTCTTTTTCTCATGAGAAAGAAGTCCACATTATTGAAAATCTAGATTGGCCCTGCCAGTGTAGCTCAGTGATTGAGCATCAACCTCTGAACCAGGAGGTCCTAGTTCAATTCCTGGTCAGGGCATATGCCTGGGTTGCGGGCTTGATCCTCATTGTGGGGCTTGCAGGAGGCAGCTGATCAATAATTCTCTCTCATCACTGATGTTTCTCTTTACCTCTCACTTCCTCTCTGAAATAAATCCTATATAATAAAGAGATAATATTCAAATTGACCATCGCTCCAACACACAAGATGACCGCCCCCATGTGGTCAAAGATGGTTGCCCCAACGTGAACACAAGATGGCTACCACAAAATAACCAGCAGGGGAGGGCAGTTGTGGGCAATCAGGCCAGCAGGGAGAGCAGTTGACCAGGCCTGCAAGGGAGGGTAGTTGAGGGCGACCAGATCTGCAGGGGAGGGCAGATGGGGACTACCAGGCCTGCAGGGTAGGGCAGTTGGGGATAACCAGGACAGCAGGGAAGAGCAGATAGGGCAACCAGGCTGGCAGAGGTGACCAGGCCAGCAGGGAAGGTAGTTAAGGGCAACCAGGCCTTCAGGGAAGGGTAGTTGTGGGGACCAGGCCTGTAGGGGAGGGCAGTTGGTGGTAACCAGGGCAGCAGGGGAGAGCAGATAGGGGCAACCAGGCTGGCAGTGGTGACCAGGCCATCAGGGGAGGCAATTAGGGGCAACCAGGCCTTCAGGGAAGGGAAGTTGCAGGGACCAGGCCTGCAGGGGAAGGCAGTCGGGGACAACCAGGCCAGCCATGGAGGGCAGTTAGGGGCAATCGGGCCTGCCTACAGGAGAGCAGTTAGGCATTGATCAGGTTGGTAGGGAAGTGGTTAGGGGGTGATCAGGCTGGCAGGCAGAAGCAATTAGGGGCAATCAGGCAGAGAGGCAAGTGAGTGGTTGGGAGCCAGAAGTCCTGAATTGTGAAAGGGATGTCCTACTGCCCGTTTAGGCCTGATCCTACTAGGATCCCAGATTGGAGAGGGTGCAGGCTAGGCTGAGGGACACACATCCCGGTGCATGAATTTCATGCACTGGGCCTCTAGTAAAAATATATTAAAAAGAAAGAAAGAAACCCTAGACTGTTTTTATTGCCTGCTCACTGATAGAGGAGGTAAGTGACAATGTAAAGACAGAGGTAAATATTTAGGGAAATTTGACTATAGACAGAGAACTTTCTGGATATTAAGGGAATAATTTGTAATTTTAGAACATGGTGAGCCACAGACTTAGGGAAACTAATTGGAATAAAAAAATCTTCATTTGAAAAGGATCTAAGGAGTCTCAGACAAAAAACCTAGCAGAGACTGGATAGTCAAATTTAGTGGGTGTTTTTTCCAGAGTTAAGGGCAAAAAAACCTCAAAAATATTATAACAGTTTGCTCCATATATTCACATTTAACCAATAATACGATGTCATGAACATAGGTCCCCCAAATGTTATATTAATATCAAGAATTCGGTGTAGAAACTATGGAAGGATAAAAATAGAAGTCCTTCCTCCTCTGCTCCCCCACCCCTAAAAAAAGTTCATGGACTCATGTAGACCTGGAAATCATCTATTCCAACCTCTCCACCAAAGCAGGAAGCCCTTCTACAGTATTTTTAATAGGTGATCATCCAGTTTCTGCTTCATTACTTCCGGTGACAGAGCAGTGAGTCATTACCTCACAAGGCAGCCCATTCGATTTTTTAACAACCTTTTAAAGGAAAAGCTTCCACTACGAAAGAACCAATAGTCATGCACTATTTCCCCAGCAGGAGGCGTAG